CGAACTCGATGGTCTTCTGCGGTACCATTATGGTTTCTAATGAGCAATCTGCAAAATATCGACAGAAAGCCATGCTGGGGAGGATCCAAACACGCGATGACAAAGAGAACATCACATGGGTACGCACGCCGATTTGTAACGAAACATGGACATTTAAAATGGATGATGTTCGGCACTGATCAACAAAACTTCACTATGAATGACGACATTCATCCCTCGCTCTTATGAAACATCTGAATAGAACCATAAAGGCACATCCCGCAATCAACTGAGGATATAACCTCTCAAATGTGCCAGATGATCCGCTAGGCGATTGATAGAGGCTTTACTACACTTCAAAAAGTGATTTGCAGGGAGTCCGGTGAAAGCCTGAATAGTTAGGCCGTGATCACTCCCTTACGCTCATGCCGACCCCCAGAAGCTACCACGTACTAGCTAGTAGCCACACTACTTCCTTTCTCCATTCCTAGTGCTGAGAGTGAGGTAATAAGGGAGAAGCGCTGATATGGTAACAACAAGTGATATTTCATTCAAACACGCCTGCTCTTCACTGTATGCAAGTAAAAGTTGCCTACGGGGCGGGGGGGGGGTTGAGGGAAGGAGGGTAATATACAGGGCACTAGCACGAAAGACTTTCTGCTTTTTCTTCACTATTTGAGGCAGACTTCGCAATGAGCCAGGGAAAAAATCTCAGGTAGCGGGGTGAGAAACAGAAATGGATAAGCTAGTTGACTTGCCAGTGAAGAAAATATGAGAGGAAACCGTCGGAAACGCTTCTGAGGCCCCACTTGTGCCAAGCAAGAGGGAAAGAATCGATGTGATATCGGGCGAGAGGCCAGAGAAAGCGGCGAGAGAGCATGCAAAATAGCAAGGCAGCAGGCAAGACATCTATCAACGTGGGCGGAGTCACTTGAACGACTTGAGTCTTTTGTGCCCTACCTCCGCTACCTTACCACTTTCTGACGTAAAAATTCTACAAGTGTGTTGATTGCAGTCCACAGTACCTCTCCGTATGAAGAGCTCAGACAATTAGAATGATCGTGGTCTCTGCACTTTAAATTGCTACCCTGTCTTTGGTATTTGATGCACATTACCTACCATCTGTGATCGCGGACTTCGAATTTGACGGCGGAGCTCACGATCAGTAATAACTGCCTAAGCGTATCGTACAGAAAGGTAGTGTGAATTGCAACGGACAACCTTGGACGAGTTTCACGTCAGAAGTTAGTAAATAGCGACGGTAAAGCAGAAGGTTGCTCAGTGACTCCGCCCACAGTGACGGGTCTCCTTATCTGCTGTCTTGCTTATTTGCGTGCTCTCTCGCTGCTTTCTCTGGCCTCTCGCCCGATATCCACATCGATTCTTTTCTCTCGCCTGGCACAAAGATGGCCTCATTTAGAGCGTTTCTGACAGTTCCATTTCATTCCCCCCCCCCTGAGGGCAAGTCAACTAGCACAACTCTTCCGTTCCTCACCCCCGTTATTCCCAAACTTTTCGCTGGCTCATTGCGAAATCTGCCTGAGTCATTCCCAAACCGCACAGAAAGCGTCCCTCTTTTTGTCGCATTGTGGAAAACCAAAATTATTTCTCATCGGCTCACCTCTGCTTTTACCGTCAGCTTCCCGCAGCACAGTGCACTCTTCAATATGCCCGAATTTTCCGAAATAATTACGAATGTCGTCTTCATTGTGCTTCTTGGCCAACTGTCCGATAAACAATTTCCTCTCTAAACAAATTCGGGCATTCGGATTCGCCTAGCTTACGAGTATCAAAACAGGCTTAAGACTCTACCATTTCTATTTTCCGTATCAGCAGGCTTCATCTGAACGGGATGATGCATTCCGTCGATGATTTCGACATTATGTAGAGCACTTTGAGCCGCTATTGCATCTCGCCGATGATAAAACGTCACAAAACAACATCCTTAAAGAACGATCATCAATCTGCTGAAAGCATTTTAACACATTAAAGCCACGTGCATTTTATTGTGATAGCAGCTAACTAGCGCCACAGCACCGCGCTCGAAAGGTTATCGTAACGGATGGCGCACTCGCACGGAAAGCGAATGAGATGCGGGTTCGAATCCCGACTGGGGTCAGATTCGCCCATACTCAGCATTCTTGTGATTTCTGCTGCATTGGACTCAATGCAACCAGTTTTTTCGTTTTTCACTTGCTTTGTGATGAATTTCGATGTACGTTGACGACGCACCAGGCAAACTGTTTCTGATGAAAAAAGGTTGATCGAAGTTCATATGAGGGCTGACGTACTTAGAGGGGGCACTCGCCTGAGGGTATTTGCCTCAAGCCAAGGCTTAGCCTCCACGAAGACGATGAATTCTCTGCAGTGCCCCTTAGCGACACAGGCCGTTAGCACTTCACGCCCCAGCTTTGGTTAAGGAATGAGACAGAGAGAGTGG